TCGCCTGGCCGTTCCTCAAGCTGTCGGAAGAAATTTTCCAAGACGCAAGTCAAGCAACAAAACACTGGACTTGGCAGGAAATCGCAACTCTCAACTAAAAACAAGCACGGGAAAGAAATTGTAAAATTCTACAGAATGGAAGCAAAAAGGCTTGCAAATTTATGAACCCTACAGTTTTACTGAAATGGTTTTTAAAGGTCTACAAAATCTAGGCGACTACAAGATACCCTAGGGTTTCCCAAGGTACCACTAATATGAACGGAAGGGTTTACTTGTGGTTCGAAGCTAAGATTTGTTAAACTCGCTATCCACTGCCATTCATCCCATTCAAATAAAGTTAGTTCTGGAAACTGTATAGCTCTTTTTGGACAATTTAGGGTAGTCTCCTAGCTGACTGAACTTATCTATTCCAGACTAAATTTGCCCAATGCTAATATGCCATTTGTCAGGCCATTTAATGGTCTCCGGGTCGCAAAGGACACGACTGCCAGTCTGGGGTCAGCCCCAATGTTGTTTCAGGCGCTCTTCGCTGGGCCCCTTTTTATTTATGCAGCAAGTTGCATTCCACCCCTCCTGTATATCCGCTATGGGGACAAGTGGCTGGTTTTTGTGCAACTTAATTAAATTAGTGGCACCATAGAGGTGGAGCTAAAAGCCAGCTGCAAGGCAGAATACCGCATTAGACAATTGGCTGCCAGAAAGCATAAAAAGTGGAAACAATTTACCAAATTTGTGTTGTTTCTCGGGTTTCTTTTTCGTTTATTCAGGCGGTTGTCCATCAAAACACTATCAAGTCACCTTGAACCCGCGGGCCCGAATGATTAAATGAAAATTTGTCAGGAGCAGCTGCTGCCACGGCTCCTGCAGAATGCTAGGCAAACACTATTAATTTCGGCCCAACAATGGATGGGTAAAGGATACACACGTCCTCCGACTCCTGCCCTCCACCCTGATGTTCGCCCTTTATCGAAAAAACCGCACATGCTGCTGCTTTCGCCCAAAATCTCGCCAAATTTTAAGCCAGTTTGACATTTTGACAAGTGCTACACAGAGGAAAAGCAGTGCATTTTATATTTGATATTGCAGTAGAACCTTTTGTACAATCTGCAGTGATATATTAACTCATACGATTTTGTTTAGTGTATAAAAGTCAGCATGTATAGCAGATGCATGAAGCCCCAGCCGGATCGGAAGGATACGACACTGCGGCTGTCCCCGTAACATGTATCCGTGGCTATGTGTCCATTTTGTGTGCATTGTCGTGTCGTGGCCATGAATATTTAATGAAATTAGCTTGAGAATCTTACAAAATTTCTGCCGCGTTCTCTGCCACACGTTTGTGCAACCGACCCGCGTGTTTTCACTGGAATCTTAAAGAGAAACGGTAGCGGGGAGGCAAGTTCAAGTAAAGCCCACAAATATGCAAGGATAATGACGCTATTTATGTAACATGGCAAAAGTGGGTGAAGTGCTTCCAGAGTCTAGCACTTCTAAGACATTTGCCACCCTAGTTGGCCCTCCCACTTCCCCTCAAAATGTGCATTATGACACATGCAGATATAGAAACTTAGTTAGGCCTTAGTAAGGATATCTTTTATCTACCACCAAGTTTTCTCATTTATTAACTTTTCTAATTAAGGAGAAATGTTTGCCATTGCAGATACTAAAGTCTGCCCTTATAATTCAATCATATATCATTTATTATTGAAAATTAATGGGATTTAATTAACTTTTTTGCGGATTTCACTAGCATCCGTGATTAAACCCAATATGGGTTTTGATATAATTACTATTTATGATGTTTAATTAATTCAAATTTGAATTTCGAACAGCAAACCCATATACCGAACATCAATAATGCAAATAAGTATTCATGAATCGGCGTGACATTTCCTCTTTGTTTAATTTTCACAAATATCCATTCCAAACAGACGCAGATGAGCTTCTCCTCGTGGCAGGATGGGCGTTATCAATAAATTCCCTTGGACCACCATAAATAAAGGGGAAATGGGAGATGGGGCGGAATGGCTCGAAGCCCTTTAATGGGCATGCAACGGGCTCCGCGTTAAGTCAATACAGCATAAATCAAAAATGGCAGCGTGCAGAGGATCTCCTGGGGGCCAGAGGAGGTTTGTGAATAGCTATCCATATTGGAGCATATGCTGCAAACTGAAACTATCCAATTGCAAAATGATGACTCCCTAAGCGGAAGCCATTTCCGGGCGTAGAAATCCTTTACTTGGATACTTCTCACATATTGCTTTATGAAGGCTGATACAATACTCTTATTAAATATTGTAGTGAGCCTGATACCATAACAATAAGGTAGTCTCTTCCAAAAATATAATCCGTTAAAAAAATTACAGAATTAACCCTTAACCGGGGTCAAGGTGCTCATTTCGCATCCTATGATAAAAACCAGGGACCGTTAATAATGATCATTGTTGTGATTTTTATTTTAAAAATCACAAAATAATGATTATACTCTCTCTTATTCTCTAAAAATGGCAAAATTATCATTATATTTGATATTTTTTTTCGATCATAGAATAATGATTATATTGATTTTTAATTTTCAATCATAAATGATCATTTTCTGATTGATTTTTAATTTTCAATCATAAATGATCATTTTCTGATTTTTATTTTTTCGCTCAGAGAATAATGATTATTTTGTGATTTTTATAATAAAACTCATAATGATTAAGGTCCCTGATAAAAACACATAATTTTCATGATGGAGAAAATGTTGAATGTTAAATATAAAATATTTTTGATTAATTTTGGTAGGTATTCATACTTCTTGCATTTTTTTTGCCTGTGTTGCTTCATTTTCATTTCGCTTCAAAAAGGCCTTTTCTTCTACAATGTTAAGGTTAATATATTTAAAGATTTGTGTGTCGAATTACTTTACGTTTTACAACACTGGATCTAGTGATCTTATATTATTTTTAAGAGAATAACCCGCAAAAAAAACCAATCCATTTCAAGATAAAGGAGCATATACCCATAAAAATGACTTGAACTCATTGTTAGTCTCATCCCGCTATCCTTGCACTTGCAGCCTGCTGCTGCGGACATGAAAAAAATTTCTACAAGAGGCCCCCAAAAGTCGACAATCGTATGAAAAGAATATAATAATAGAACAGGCTGCACATAATGATATAGAGGCCATGGCAGGACGACAAAATGGAAAAACGGCGGAGGCGGCCGTCAGGAAGAGCTCGGGACACGATTATGGGCATGTCGCGGAAAAAGCACAACAACAAAAGTGCCAGTGCCATTGAAAAATATTCTACCCTGTAAATATTTGCGGAGGATGTTGACTTTGCCGCAAGAGTATGGGAAAATATTTACATTTTAAAATGAAAACTTAGGTAATAATATGGCAAGTATCTGTTTAGGACTTTTGTATTAAAGTCTTTCTACAGTATAGCATATTTTAGTTTTAGGATATCAGATGGTTTTAATATCGCCCCCAGCATGTCTTCTCAAATTGATTTTCCTTTTTAGACGGCACTCAAGGACAAAGGACAAGCTACCGCGCCCTGGGGAGCACCATCTTGGGTTAGTCGGTCCCCCAGTCCTTAGAAAGGAATAACAATGCTGCTTGAAACCAAAACCAGATGCCCCAGCGTCTCAAGAACCTCAATTCCCAACTACTCGGTGGTGTGTGCGATTTCTAAACTCGACTTGAAGACCGCATCTGGCGTGCAAATCAACATTTCATAGGACAAACTTGAGAAAAGGACCAACTTTAAGATAGAGATAGAACAATATTTTGTCGAGCGACAAGTGGCGAGTAATTTATCAAAAGTGAAACAAACCTGTCACGGTTCCTCAAGGCGACACGCGACTGTTCGGGGGACCCTTCCAACCCACCACCCCCGAATCGCACACGTGGTGGGGCCATAAAAAATGTATTACCAAATTCGGTTGAGCTGCACATATCGACGGAATGCCGCGAGCCAAAACCCTACGAAAAATTTAGCCCATTTTTCCCACAGACTTTTCTTTTTCCAGTGAAAAATTGCCTCAGCATTTCTCCGTTCCTCGAGAGTTATCCGGACCTTCAATCGGTTGATTGGGATTGAGGGCTCCTTGGGTTTTTACGGCCAAACATCGTAATAGCGTGCAGATTGGGCAATAAGCGCGATTTTCCCTCCTTTCGAGGGCGGGCCTGGGACTTGGGCTGATGGGAGGTACTTGAGAAATTTCCTCATTAGTTTGATGGACAGGGTTTAAAGAATGTAGGACTTCAAATAGTCTTTAATGTTTTATTCACATGTTCCTTGAAGTCATTATTTAATGGAACAGAGGTAGGTTTTATAAACACCACTATTACGACTTTAAAGAAGTGGAAGCAACTAACTACTGGCATCTTTTTTTCTTATTCACTGATTTGCAATGTTTACATAAAAATATGTACTGAGACTTTAACAAATTAATACATTTTCTTATAATATTTAAAATCAAATCATTTTATTACTTTAAAATAAAGCTTTACTGAAAAAAGACCAAGGAGTGCGGAGAAATCCGAATTTTTGGAACCTCTAGCATCGGAAGTACAAGCTCCCAAGTCTCTGTTGGGACTCTCCTCTAATTCTCGAGGAGTGTACCGTTTTCCGCAACAAATTTTACGACTGTTCCGACTTTTGGTTCCGCCCCCTCGGATTCCCGTTCAATTTTACACTTCATAAAATGCCAAGCAAATCGATTCCTGGCACAATCCAAGGAAATCAATGCGAAACCCCAACCAACATGCATAATTTATACAAACAAGTGAAAAGCAACCCCAAGCACCCACCCACCCACGAAAGCCACCCACCCACACATTGGCCATAAAATAAAAACCAAATTGACAAACATTTGCCAAAGGAAGGTCCTGGAAAGGGAACATAAGGACAGCGGCGATGAACCACACAGGAAACATCTTGTGGCCGCCCGTTAATAATTAATTTTCTAATAAAATTAAGAGCTCAGTGCTCGGTTAGCTTTACCTTTGCCATAATCGGGACTGGTGCTTCTGCTGCAGACTGATAAGAAAGTTCCCAGGTGAGAAGCCGTCGGCTTTTGACTTGGATCTGATTTTTGTTTTACATAAAGAACTACCACAACAAAATACAGCTATAGCTTTTGTTTTATAATTAATGAACGGCTATTTGCTGACCAAGGTTGACTATTAGTGAATTTTTTTTTTTAATCTCAAGTTATTTTACTTCATTACTTTTCAATTGTAACGGTAACTGCGTCAGACAGACACACACACATACACAAGCACAAAACCGCACAGCTTAATATTAACCAAAACGTATAGCGAATAATTTATGTTAATATTTTTTAAATTGCATCTTTTCTTTTGCTTTTTAAATTTTATTTATTTTTTTGAGTATATAAAAATAATTTAGTTTTTGTATATATTCTTAGATTTTCCAGCCGGGAAACGCGCGCGTTGCGTTGCTCTCGAAAATTTTGTAACGACTTGGCGACTTGGTCTCCCCGACTTGGGGCCTCGGCTGCAGTGATGCCAACTTAGTTTTTTTGTCTTGAAGTTGGCTTTATAGTTGGTATTCTAAGATGCCTCATCTCTAAAAGCTTAGCGTTATTTTAAAGAGTGTGTTATTTCAAAACATACATATACGGATTTGGATCCTAAAATATAATATTTCTGGAATTTAACTATTATTTAGGTAAATCTTGCTATTTTATTAAAAAATTGGCTTTCTTTCTCGGCTATAACTAAACACCGACAGTTGGCAGCACTTTTTGGCAGAGCTGGCTTAGTTCCAGTTATGTACCGTCGGACTTGTACTGTTAAAATGTACCTTAACGGTTTTGGGTCACCATTAGCTGGCCACACTGAAAAGTCCTGTTCAGTCCTAGGAATCGTTTCCCCCTTAATTTGAAATTCAAATAAATAAAATAATATTCAAATAAATCTGAATGTCTTATATAAGTTTTCTAGCTTTTACAAAAGTAATTATTTTCCAAACAATATCTTCTCAGAAGGTATCTTTTGATGATGAAGATACTAGTTTGTTGAAGATAACGTTATACAATATTTATGATGCCGTATATGAAATTGGGATCTTATTTATGTGATAACTCCAATTTAAGATGCGAGCAATATAAGACCAAGAGCGAGAGTGTCGCCAACCTTCAATAATAGGCTTAATTATTAATTAATTATTTAAACTAGCAACTAGCTGCTTCAAATATGTACGTTTGTATTTTGTATATATTATCCGGATATTTTAAATATCGGTTTGGGCTTGGGACAAATTTAAATGACACACGCCTTGGAAACATGAGGCGAAATGCTAAATAAATCCTCTTCGAATAAAAATCCCAAACTTTGTGGTACCAAATTAAATCCTTTTACGTATAAAATGAGTTACAATTAAAGCTGTTTTATTAACTACTTCCACAATTTGTTTGGTAACAACGAATCAAATCCACTTAACGGACTGGCACCCAGCTCTCCAAGACATCTCCGTACTTCTTGCGATCTGAAACGTATTAAAATATACAAAATGGCTATATAGGAGGAATTAAGGGAAGCTGTGGCTCTTGCATTTACCTTTAACGGGGAAATCGTCGGGATGCAATTCGATATAATGCCGGAGAACGGCATCGCGTTTGGCCAGGTATTCGCCCCTCTTCTGATCAAAATATACTCCGGCGCCCACGCCAATCGCTCCAAAAGCAATGTGCTTCTGAATTCCTGCATAACAATTGGTAAATAATTTATTTTCATCAATTATAATAGACAAAAACAATGTTACGTCACATGGACCCCGGCGGAGAAAACTCACCTGAAAACACGGGTCTGCGGAAGCCCCAGTTGACGAAAAGGGCCACGCCCACTCCGGCTAAGCCGCAAGCCAAGGGGTTCCATATGGGACTCAAGAAACTGGGCTCCCGATTGCCTTTATTGGACAACAACTCCAGCGGATCGTTCACAGCGCTCATGTTGATAGAAAAAAACAATAGAGGTGGACAGCTGAGCTAGAGATGGCCAAGATTATTTTTATTTTTAGCGCAAAGCACACGATATTTGTATCGATATTAGGACTAGCGGGAAAAAAGCTAAGTTTCATTGTATGGTTTTTTAGGATGGATATTAAAGGACTTGTCTTAGATGCCTACGGTGTTTTAGGCCTTAGAGGAGTAGTTGGAATTAAATCATTTAATAGGGGTTTTATTTAGTCTCCCTTGATTATTACTTAGTTTTATATTAATATTATATATTTATATTAAAAAAAAGGTTACAAGAATAAAAACGCAAAATCCATATGAACATTTTTTCTGGTTTTCCGTTTATTTTAAATCCATATTATTTATTACAGTTTTACGTTAAACATTAAATGGCAAGCAAGGCATGTGTAAGGCAATTTATAGCATATATAGGTGGCTGCTCAAAATTGTAAACTTCAAGGCATTTTGTCTGTTTTTGAATATCTGACTTGAATACAGAATATATATATTGAGTAACTGTTAGTCCTGCAGACACACATCAAAGGCGCAAGTAAAATATAGAACAGGCACATTATTTAGTTATTAGTTAAGGCCGCATGTCGCCTAAGCCTCTAATTTACAGCTAATTTACATTCAATATTTAAGTATTTATATATTTGTAAAGGTTACCATACATCCAAAAAGAACTAATAAAAAATAACTCATAAGTAAAAAAGATGTTTATTTAAAAATTAAGCATTTCATGTCGTTTGTGTTTCATTACACATTTGAACTCTAAACAAAATCAAGGAAAATCATAAAACTACAGAAGTCCTAGTGTACAAGTATGTTTATAAAAAATTATACACCTACAGCTAATAAAAAGATATTACTTTTGCTTTTTACTGCGATTACACATAATGGTTTACTTAAGCTACGAAAAGATCATTGTTTGGAAATTTTAATTATTGGTATATATCTTTTTTTGTTTTTATTTTCGCAAGGGCCACTTAATTCTCAACCGATTTAAACTCACAAAAGATTAAAAAAGAACAAACTGCTGGTATTTCCAATCCCTCGCGATCTAAACCAAAAGAGGGTTTGCGTGGCACTGCCTTTAACTTAAAATTAGTTAAACCATAGATTTAAATCAACGCGATTGAACATTAAGCTGGTTGATCAGGGGGAAAACGTGGGAAATGAGAAAAATACAACATAAATGGGTGTCTAGACAAATCATTTTAAGAAATGTATTGCAATAGGTCGTCATATTCTTTTATAAATTTCATCTCGCTTATGTACTTTAAGTTGGTAGGATTAATTAATGGTTTAAATGTCGGTCTCACTTTATACTTAAAGCAGTTTGCAATGACACATAGTTAGCACTTGAAACAGACTTGAACAACAACGATGTGCCAATGGGCATAGATCATAATTATTATAGCATGTAGATCAGTGTAAGTAGTTCACCACCTTGGTTGGTCACCAGTTGGTTTCTAGCTGGCTCCTCTTCTTTATCTCGTTATTGCGTTAGGAATGACATTCGCATAGGAAATCGTACGATTAACCATAGCATATAGGCAAAGGGCGGGTCTTGAGTAGCTTGCGTCTGGGTTCGAGGACGCGCTACCTCGTCCTCGTTCGTTCACATGTCCTCCCGGGTCTCCGTCGTCTTTTACACACTTGCTCTTCACTCATACATACTCATTAGCTACTGGTTTTGTATTGTTTGATGGTTGTTTGCCGCGTCCGCTCGTCTAAATCCACCTTATCTTAGCCTAGGATACAGAACTAATTGCATTATGCGGCGAGCCCATCTGGGTGAGCACCTTGTCCAACCACTGGAGCGGCCCGTGCAGGTGTATCTCAATCCAGCACGGCGTCGAGGTGACGTCCTGGCGATGGTACTCCGCCCCCCAGCCCTTCACGAATGACATCCTGATAGTGCACATCTTGGTGAGCTCGTAGACGGCCTCGAATCCGTTGTTTACCGACTGCGACAGCAATTGAGCGAACTCCTGGTTGTTGAAGATCTTCAGCGAGCATCCGGGCGGGATCTTGCACACGGTGCTTGGGTGGAATCCATGGTGGTAGTTGCAGTTCCGCGACTGCACGAAGATGGCCGAGTCCGAGAGGCATTCGGCATACACCTCGCCGGTAACATAGTACAAATGAACGCCCTTTCCTGCAAATGGAAAACAATGTAAGTCGTTTCTCTACACCCTGATCCGTAATGGAGTTTCCAAACTCGTTAAACCCACCTATATGGCGCCGCGTGTTCTCTATGGTGCTGTTCCTGTTCACATTGCTCAGCTGGCCAAGGCAGCAGCGGTCGGAGTTGTTGGACGGATTCGTGAAGCCATCCACAATCACGGAGTTGTTGGTGCAATGAAACACCTCGCCCACGCGGCAGTTGAGCTCGTAGTAGGCGATCGAGGCCCAAAAGGCCGGCTCCGAGTAGCTGACTTGGGCCACATCGCCCATCTGAGCGTCCATGTGCTGGCCGCCCTCGTTGGGATTGTTGGAATTGCCGTCCTCCGAGGGGCTGTAAGCGGGCGGCGGTGTTCCTGCCAGGCTGTCGTACGGCGAGTTCGGATTGGAGTTCACGGAACTGGGACTGCCCACCGAGGTGTTGCTGTTGCCCAGGCTGTTGAATCCACTGTTTGAGTAGCTCACGTTGTGCGGCATGCTGGGCTCCGCCACGTGGTTGAACTGCAGCATCGAGTGGCCGGGCGCGTATTCCGAGTGGCGGGGCACCAGCACCGGCGGCAGGACCGGGCTCTCCACGCGCTTGTAGTGGTACGGATTGATGCAAACCTCCTTCTGCTTGGCGCTGAACGGATACTGGCAGAGTTCGAGGGGCTTCAGCTCGTGGTGTGACTGCAGGTCGGGCCATCGCCAGACCCGGCAGTAAATCACGTGTGGCAGGCCCTTGCGATGTGAAACCTACAGAGGTGATACAAATTAGTTAGTACTGGGAGATCTGCGAATTCCAGACCCATTCTCACCTGCAATCTTCCGTCGAGCGATCTGGGAATGGTCACACACTTGGACGGCTGTCCCGGGCAGGACAAGGCGCGCTCCAGCTCCTCAATGGCGCCCTTGCGCTTCTTCAGCTTCTTCACCAGACTGTCAACCGCCTTCTCCGCCCACTTCTCCTCCTCGTCGCCCTGCTTCCAGCCGAGCAGCTTCTTCACCGCCGGCGATGTGAAGGAGAATAGAGTGCCCAGGGTGGACATGGCACTGCTGGTGTTGGACTCAACGTCGTCGGTGTCCATTCTGTTGGCGATCGCTGACAGGCTGTTGCTATTGCCGCTGCTACTGCTGCTGCAGATGCTAATGTTGTTGTTGTTGTTGTTTATAAGGCGACTGTTGTTGTTGTTGTGGCTGGTGGTGGTGGTGCTGTTGGTCTGGGGTGGAGTTACCCGATAACCGGTATAACTATCTGCGGGCGGATAGTCTGCGGGAGAGCAAGTGAAAACACATATAAATAATAAACGCAAATAATTCGCGGGCATTCATCATCGGGCTCAGATTGCCTCAGCAACGCCCACCACAACGCATGCAAAGTGGGAATGCACTGGGAGAAACAGTCGAGGCTCTGGCTTGGGCTCGTGGTGGGGTTGAGCAAGCCATCAAGCCTCGAGCGCACATCCCCTTCTTCGAGTGGAATCGGAGTGGGAGCCATGGATCATGATATCGGATCGGGAATAAAGTCGTTGGGAGGTACCTGTCATGCACGGACTCCTCCCCCTTTCAATGTTGGCGGCCAATTGCATGCAAATTGCCTGCAACATTCTCTCATCGAGAATTATATTCGTTGCGGCTGCCTTGTCTGATTAATCAGAGCCATTTTCGTTAGAAAAATACTTTTATCTCCCTGTATTGTTATTGCTGATCGTTTATCGGCTACTGACGTAATTTGGAGGGAATTTTGTCAACTGGCTAGAGTTCCGCGGAATTTGGGTTGGCCAAGTAGAGACTTCTACTTCTACTTGTAGGGGGACTCACCACCCACAATTAATTAATAAATTAACTAATAACTGAGGCACTTGAAAATCTATTCCACTAAAATTAACAAACGAAATAGATAACACAACTAAATAAATTTGCAGTTGAGTTTATTTTAACTTGAATTAGCATCTAACATAATATTAAAATTAATACCCGGTACAAATAGAGTAAAAAGGACTAATTTGAGAGACTTCGCTCTATAATAAACATTCTGCAATATAAGAATTTCCTTGAGGATTCCTATTATGGTATACCAACGAAGTTCCTTTAACACCCTTCCGTCTCCAAAAATGTAAATTTCCTATAGTTTCGATTTTTAAAAGAATCTTTGCATTAAAAAGAAACTAGCATCTAAAGCAATGGTCGGCACGACCCTACCTCGAAGCATAAGAAATTTCTCAGCCCGAGCTCTGCCACACACACAGTATAAATGTGTGAAACCTCTTTTTTCTGTTATTCGCTACTAATACTAATGCGTTAAAGTCATATCAATGTATTGGGTGCCGACCACTGATCCAAAGACTTAGAACGAGACTGTTTTTAAATCATTTAAAAATGAATAGTAAATAAATAAATCAATTTTTTTATAAATTACAGACATTACTAATAAATATATACATTATTAAATTATATGCAAAAACAATTCTTAATGTCATTATTTAAATGTTAGGATAAACATTGGAAGGACCAACAGTAAAAAGTTTATAAAAATATGCTTTTTTTGATTTTGTAGAGGAGAGGAGTACATTTGGAGCCATTGTAGAGGAGTACCGGGTATCGTAGTCGAGAAAATCAACTATAGCCTAAAATTCCATCTTCTAATAAGTTCGTTGGTTTTAAACAAACAACGAAGTCTACAAAAGACCTAAGGAGGTAAGGTATTTATTGGCTATATAATTATACGATTTCATTATTTATTTATGAAATAGTTGGAAAAGACAGTCCTGTGCACATTCAATGAATCGCCTACCCCTAACTCAAAGTTTGATACAGTAATTCCCATTAATTGAAAACACTCGCCGCAAATTTCCACTCGATTCAGAGTCGAGCTAGCTGAATCGAGCGGGAACTGCATCTCATAATTAGCGCAAATGATAACCAAATGGCTTACAGCTTGTCAGCGCCACAAGTGTGGGCCAAGCCACCCCTTTCCTCCCTAACGGCTAACGGTAAAGACAACAATTCAATTTCAGTTATGACATTTCAATGTTAACGGCATTGCGGTGGAGCTCCTCTCGGGTGGCAAGTGATACCGAGTATGCGGTGCCCGTACTCTCGGCTCGTACTCTGCTCAAGGTGTCAAAAATATTTTAATTAAATCGAAAAAAGTGACAAAACCTAATTGAATGAAAATTTGTGGCGGCAATTAGTTTGGGCGGTCTAGAGTGGTGGGTCAAAATCGAACAAGAAAACCACACAAGGCGAACCACCACCCCATTTAGGTGGAGGGGGCGGGGTGGCAAGACTGCGGCGAGGTGGCAAGTAAATCCAATTCCAAAAGCAATTAAATGCCGGCTATAAATCAACAAGTGCACCACTCGGACACCTCTCCGCTGCTCCGCCAGACCCACTGGCGCACATTTTTCGCTAAATTAGTCGCTGCGTGAATTAATTACCATTTTCCCGCTCAAGCCTAGTAATTCGGGCGTCGCCAGAGGCTCTATTTTGGCCACTTTTCGGGCATTGACAATTGGCCGCCGTCGCTTAGAGGGCGTGGTCTGCGGAAAACCCCATTTTTTTAATTGGCCAAAGTCAACCGTAGCCCGAGGCCCAAAACTACTCCACTAACTAACAAGACATTGGTTTCTTCAAGTTTTTCTTTAAACGGGAATCCTAACAATCTCGGTACAACATTGCCAATTTTTATAAAAATATTGTAGTGGTTTAGAACTAGAGAACTTATCAAGAGGGTTATCGGTCGGTGGTGTAGTATTTGTCCAGCTGACTGGCGGCAATTGTGGTCTTGAGGACTGGCCTGCCTTCGGAATTCGATGATTGCGGGGGTAAGCATACAAAATTCGATAGTGCCCCGGGCTTGAGGGGCGACAGCATTGACACACCGGTGGGTCGCAGGTGGGTTCTTGTATGGGGCTTGTGTACTCTTAGGGGAGGACTTGATCGTGAGGTTCCTGGGAATCGATCTATTTTCCTGGATTCGACAATGACTTTAATAGATTGTCAGTGACTTAAAGAGTTTGGTTGTGTTTGGAAAGGGATTATTCTTTAATAGGTTTCCAGAGAAGAGAAACGAATAAATGCAATTGAAAGCTATTCGCATCGGACATTAAGCGACTATAAAGATACTTCTTCATTCTACAATGTCTTTACGATCCATTGTCATACAGATCTGCGGGCACGGGGACACTTTCGCAATCAATTAAATACCAATAATCATAGTTCGCAATTACACATTATTACTCGAGCTGGGATCACGTATCTGCCACCCCGACATCCTGTCTCCGCGGTTTCTTCTTCGGCCCCACCCTCATCTGACAGCCTTCTTCTGCTCTGAACACTCCACTGTTAAAAGTTGGGCCCAAATTAGGGTTTTATTTTGACTAAAAATATCTCTCAAGCCACAGGTTATCGATTTTAATTAGAAGGTGTATTGATTTCCATGTAAGACACCAATGTAGGAAGTTCTAAAGGTTCGGAAAAGGAGTCACTTTCAAAGGATCTATATTCTTTTTATAACATTTGAGTCGATACTAAAAAAATCTGATAATACCAGATGAAATATATTAAATGATAAAGTATCAGATAGGTTTCTTATATACAATATACCCCACATTTATTTTGAAAGAAGCTAAAAAGATACTTTTTCTCTTTTATTTATATGGTATATATACTCCTGATCAGAATGGAGATGAAAAAAGAACAAATAATGTTTTTATATCTATCTGTATGTGTTTTTATTGCATTTTAATCGCTACATTTAAACCCTTTTCTTTAGAATTCAAATGATTGTTAGAAGAATTATGCTCTGTACGGAATCATCATTTAATAACAAATTATTAAGATTTTAAAATAATTGTCCATGAAATCCTTGATATCCCTCAAAGTTGTGAGTCTTGAATACATTATTAGCACAACTTCTTGCTACCTTTTACCTTTTACTTGAACCTATATTCGCACCTAACAAATTGTAAATATTTGTAATTAAAATCAATATATAAATGTAAGATTTATTTTTATATAAAACAGATCCCTTTTTTCAGTGCAGCGAATCGGGGATCATAACTCAAACGGACGAGCGCCGAGGACTCGAGTCTCTCACGGCAGGCACGCATTCGCGCATGCGCATTCGTATCATACAATTCCAATCAATAATCAATCATAAATGCGCCAGCGACAGTAGGGCGTAAATCATGATGGTGCCCAGGTAGAGCTGAAACTGAAGGTAGATGGGAAATTCAGAAATTCAGAAGCAGTGGCGGTGGCAGTGGCAGTGGCACTTCCGCTGCCATTGAAAACGGGCGTTGGGCAGAAGGGAGGCGGCGCACCAGAGCACCGGAGGGAACTATGTACGCGGAGGGACTTGGACATGGGTGTTTAAAAATAAACAAACAATGCACACAGCACAGAGATAAAGACCGAAACGAAACGAATCGAATCGAGCAGGCAGCAAAAGTTTCAATTTGAGGAAAACTCGGATTGGGGCAGGGAAGGAAGGCAAGGGACTAAACGTACACATGTTGAGGCTGCAGATATTATTATTTATTTATTTTTATTGCACACGCACACACTGGGGCCCTCTGGCGGGTGGGTGCCCCACCAGCAGCACACACTCGCGGCGATGATACCGAGATGCACAAATCAAAATCAGCATCAGAATGTCATTTGGATGCAGGGGCGACCCTCCACGACGCTCGACTCGCTCTCGTCTCGGCTCGGCTCGATTGTTATCTTTTAGTGTCAGATATGCGCTGGGCTCCGCTAGTATTAATTTAATTTATTGATGTTTTTCAAACTTTCTTGTATTCTTTTATATTTTTGTATTTTGCGGGAAATTACGCAAAGTCCCAGGAGAGAGTCGAACTGCAGGCGCGAGCGCGAGACAACTGCACGAGGCGACCGATCGCCGACGAATGCCGACCGGGCTGAAAAAAGAAACCGAGTGCCGACTGACGGACTGAGTGAATGACTGGGTGAGTGACTGACTAACTGACTGACTGGGCAACTGAGCGAGGCCCAACTGAATTGGCTGCGGTTTCTGCATCTGTCGCGGTGAACCAGGGCCGTCAAACAGGGCCGCCTTCCGGGGACTAGAATAACTATACCAAGGATTACCATAACAGATCTACAGATCTAGATCTGTTACCTAACCGGAACGAGGAACTATATCTTATAGATGGAGTACTCCATCCTTGGAACTATTTGGATTAAAGCCATTCCCGTTTAGTGCTTCTGGAGCCCTGATCCGAATCAACTGTTGAGTGACGTTTT